ATACTATACATACTGGTGGTAGCCAGGGTTTTCAAATAGAACATACTATACATATTGGTGGTAGCCAGGGTTTTCAACAGAACATACTATACATACTGGTGGTAGCCAGGGTTTTCAGACAGAACATACTATACATACTGGTGCAACATTTTGAGAAGATGGAGCATATAACAACACATCTTTTATATTATGCTATACTTTTTATGTACACAAACAATGAATCAAACAGATGTAAATATTCATATTTTATTGTAATGGTTGTGTTTACTTTGATTACTATGATGCAATTCTTGTGATACTACACATGACGTCCTCCACCCCCGAACTTTTCCGCCGTTTCGGTTTGGGGGTGTGACACATACTGATGTGTGTAAAACTCACTTAGTTTTAATCCTACTTTAATTATCAAATAACACACAAAAGGCAGTGAACCTATCAATTGTGGTATAGCTAAATAAGCAGGGTATCGAACACAGGGAACGGCAAATTAAATTAAAAACTAATTCTATCTAAATTACTTTAGCAAATAAGGGTTTTTCTCTAGTTTTACAAGACTAGAAACTTACTAAACAAAACTAATGTAAGGCTAGAAAAGAACAAATTAACTAGATTCAATAATGGGAAAGAAACTTCTGCTTAGTTCAACTCGGTTAACTTTATGGTTGCTTTTAAGGTAATAGTGCAATGGATTAATTCTTTCGTTGGTTACCGATTCAAGTGATTAAGTTGTGTTCACTACCCTAATCCTTAGCAAATAAACTAATTCAAACAGTGGCCAATTGCTTAACTTAATTATATTTACTAGATTAATTATTCGGGTTAAGTTAGACTTGCAATAGCTAATTAAATTGTTATTCTTAATTAACCTCTTGTTCGATAGTCATCTTACAAGCTTGCACATGAATTTACTCAATTTACTTATTAATCCTAGTTTCATATTCATTAATCCTAGACATATGATATAGTGGTCACTTATCATATGAGGTTGATAATTAATAGATGTTCATGCTAATTAACTATCTTCCTATTAACAGAAAATAAATTATCATTCATACACAAGGTTCTTTAGCAAGCTAAAATAACAATTAATCACCAACTTAGAATTAATCCTACCAATCAATCAAACCATATTGTCAACTTTGTATCCCCAAACAGAAGTATAAAGAAATTAGTTCATAACTAAGGTGAATAACAGCAAACAAATAAGTTCAAGTTGCTTAATCATATTGACAAAACAAAAGAATTAAGTAGAATGATGAAATTACGCCTCAATTACTCCCGGAATTGGATTCTAGCTTCTTTGGTCGACTTCTAGGGTTCTTCTGGCTTCTTATTCGCAGCTAAACACCTCTGAAACTTCCCAGAATTCTCCTCTTTTCGCATTATAGAGTTATCTTTATATATGCATACCGACTCGTCGAGTCATATGGTGACTCGTCGAGTCCCTCTCACATTAGTCGTAACCTGATAACTGTCTTGACTTCCGAATGTTTATCTTTCTGAATCCGCGACCGGACTCGTCGAGTCAAGAGACAACTCGACGAGTAGAAGCTTTTTTGGTTGTTTTCTTTCTTCTTTCCACTCTTGAGCTCTTAACCGCTTCTCTTGCTTCCTTTCGCTTCCGAGCTTCATCTTTGGACTGAAAAACACAATTTAACACTTTTAAGTACCTTTTGTCCATAATATGCAACAATTTAGCTAATATATGAATAATAAACTACACTTAATACACACTAAATATGCACATATCAAAATACCCCACACTTGTCCTTTGCTTGCCCTCAAGCAAAACTGAATTTTAACACATTAGAATCACATATAATAACTCCAATCCAACCCAGCCATTATGCCAAGACCGCAACGCATGCATTTGTGTCTAAAATTCCTAAAAACCCCCCATACTTCAAATATCACAATCCTCATAAACATTCGCCCACTCACCCCGAACTATGCTCATTTTATGCAACCCTCCGAATCCATCCTCAGAAAACCTCTTTAACCTCAAGGTATTTTTAATTGAGCAACCCAAGCATACATAATCTAGAATTACAACTTTTCGATACCACTTTAGAGCTCTTTGGAATTCTTCACTTGCTTGATAATTTGATCTTGCATATCTTTGAATTCACCACCTTTGTTTGATTTCTTTGGTATCTTCAACTTTTTGGATTTCTTCAGAATTTTCAATCTTCATATTTGATATTTGACTTTGATGCTCCAAAAATTCTTCAAACTTTTTCTTGTAATTCTCTCTTTTTTTTTTATAACATCTAACTCACTTTTTTTTCACTCAAAACCCTACATGCTTAAGCAGGGGCGCTCAACTTCAACCTTTATTGGTAAGATAAAATTTCCTGGATACATTTCAGGTTTAGGTGCTAAACATATTGCATCCCTCAGGCTGAGCAAGGTCGTGTTTTTGTCTCATGATTTCACTGAAATAAGGAAGCCACAAATGCACTAGAACGTATATAGGCTCAACTAAACATTTGGGTTGTCATGCAATTATTAAATATAATACTAACATGGACTCCTATTTTCTTACCAAAATTTCCTAAATTAGATCCTAAATAATCCTTTTGGTATGCAAAATTTTTTAAAATTGACTATTATGTAACCAACCCCCTACCCCACACTTATGTGATGCAATGCCCTCATTGCATATGATGCATAAAAACATAAAAATAAAGAGGGAATTGGAACAAACTCCCCTGGGATAGCAGTGGATAGGTTGATCACTCTCATTTAAGCTCCATCTTCAATAAACTTCATACATGGGAACAATCTCATCCATGTATCGTGTGGGTCGCTCTAAATATGCGATAATCGGCGTAAGATCTTCAAGAATGGATATGGAAGTAGAAGGATGCAAGTGGTATAAGTAGTAGCACCAAATCAGCAGTCATTTGGCTCAAAAAATGATCGACTCGTCGAGTCTGTTGATGGACTCGCCGAGTAGCAGCGCGCATTCTCAAAATATCTGAAAATACAAAGCGACTCGTCGAGTCAGCTTAGTGCACTCGACGAGTTGGCACCTGAATGTAAATTTCTAGGTATGTGGCAACTGTTTGAGTCCCTAACAACTTCATTAACGCTTCCTCACATGCAGACTCAATCGCTCACACTCCTAAGACCGGACTTGACACTTTGACGTTAAAAACTCGCTTCCTTGACTCGCTCTCACACGTAAAAACATCCATGCTTTACCTCA